TGGCAACAAGGGACTATTAGAGAGGTAATTTAGATTACCTCATTTCAAATCTCATCGTTAGAAGAGTCTAAAACTGAGCCGAGGCATTTGTATAGGCAACACGGGACATAATTTCTCAGCCATGCACCACCATCAATCTGTTCTGATTTAGAGGCATTTATATTGGCACAAGGGACTGTTAGAGAGGTAATTTAGATTACCTCATTAATTTAGATTACCTTGTGTCATCTGTACTGATTTCATAGCCAAAATCTCAACATAAGAAGAGGTTAAATTCGAGCTGTGCCATTTAAATAAGCAACAAGGGACAGAACTATATTTTGGGTCAGAGTGGTAGGTACTACACAGATAACTCTAGTACAAACAACCAGTTTATATTTCTAACCTTCTTTTTTCAGAAATTCTAAGGGTTTTTTGCCGGAATCGCCGAGGTAGAGATAATTTTTCCAGTACGTGAACAACTACAAAAAAAAAATCACAACTCAGCCGTAACTTACAATAAGTCAAAATATAACTCATCCGTAATATACCATAACTCAGCCGCAATGTGTCATAACTCAGCCGTAAACGACGTTTCGTATTTCCCTGTTACTTTTGTCGGAAAACAAAAAGTCTTTACCCAAGTTGAGAAGAAATACGACAGAAATGACGACGAGAAAGAGAGAGACACACCGATAATAGGATAAGCGGACAGAAGAGACGAGAAAGATAAGCGGCGAGAGGTAGGGTTCTTCGTCGGCTTCGAGAGTTTTTTCTTATTATTTTTAGTCTTCTGCCTTTTCCTTGGCCTATTCCGATCTGACATAGACACCATTTTTTTGTTTGCAACAAATGAAACAAAACCCGTGAATGGTATATGAGATTTTGATATAGTGGCAAAATAACAAGACAGTAATGAGATTACGAGACAATATAAAAATATTTTCATGTGCGTGAACAATTACAAAAAAAAAACCACAACTCAGCTGTAACTTACAATAAGTCATTATATAACTCAGCCGTAATGTACCATAATTCAGCCGCAATGTAGCACAACTCAGCCGCCGTAATGTACCATAACTCAGCCGTAAACGACGTTTTTTCTTTCCCTGTTATTTTTGTCGGAAAACGAAAAGTCTCCATCCAAGTTGAGAAGAAATGCGACAGAGACGAGAAAGAGAGAGACACACCGATAATAGGATAAGTGGCCGGTAGAAACGAGAAAGAAAAGCGGCGAGAGTTAGGGTTCTTCGTTGGCTTCGAGAGAGAAAAAACAGTTTTTTTTTGTTTGTGAACAGTGACGAAACTGTTCAGTTTCTTCCTCTTTTATCATTAAAGACAGAATAATGATGTGGCAATATCGGGTATGACGTGGGATGTCAGATCTGACGTGGCAATTTTAAAGTGAAAATAGATCAAGGGTGTTCATTGTAATTACAACCATCTCATTAAACATCTAAGGAATAAGAAATTTTTTTGTCTCTTTAAAGAATAAACCTAATATTGTGCTCTATCTAAGTAATTTAATCATAAATTAACCACAATCTAGATGAAGAACTCTGTTGATTCAATCCTAACAATCTAACAACCTAACAATTCGTGAATTCCTTTGAAAACCCTAAACCTAACAAGAAATCTACTCAGACATGGTGAATGAAACAAACATCATGAATAAAATAGATATCATTAAAGAAATCAATAGAAGAAGTAAAGGAGTTTTGAATCTTCTCTGAAGGAGGTTTTGATTCTTCTCTCCTGGCTCTCTACAAATCTCTCTCTCCAAAATAAAGCTCTGTCTTAACAAGCTTAAGATTCTGTAAAAACCAAGTCTAGTTCTCTTGGTTTTTATAGAAGTTTAGCTTGATTGTCCAAATCATAAAAATGGGCAAGGATACTGTTAACGTCGAGGTTGAAATCGACAAAATTTGATGTGGTTCAGGTTGGTTATTTGAATTGAAAGCTGGTTTGGGTTGTAAAATTCAGAGTACGTGAGTTTGGGTATGAAAATACCTTCGGGAAATAGTTTGGGTTGATTTTTCCCGTTTTCCCGCTGTAGAGACTTTGACTGTAAAGACTTTGACTGTAGAGACTTTAACTGTAAAAACTTTGCTGTAAACACTTTAACTTTTTAAAATCTTATTGTCAACAGTAATAATTTTAAAAGATGCAATATTTTTTCTATTATATATAAGTTTTATAAATACATGGTGATAAATTCATATGTAACATAGTGACAACTAATAAACTTTATTAATAATAAAATTATAAGGATATAATGGTGATAGTGAAAATATTAAATTTTTATAAAGAGAAATGGATGCTGATAATTAATTTACAAAAAAAGTTCAAAACAAATATATATAAATCTGTAAAGAGATTGTAATTATTATGGGGAGAAAAAATAGCTTTTAAATTTTTTTGGTTTCAAAGCGGTGATATTGAGGCTTTAAGAATAAAAAGAAAATAAAGAAGGAAAAACTTGATTAGCAAAAATATAGTTGTTAAGGCTTTAAAACCATTTTAAAACCTTAAAAGTCATCACCAATCACCCCTTTTATTTGGTTTATCGGTTTATGCCAAATTTTAAATTTCATATATATATTATTGAATTATATTACAAATTTTACTAAGGCAAATTTTAAAATATGCAAAAGAGTCAGTTCTTTTTTTCTATTCTCCGTCAATGTTTCCCCTAGGATTATTTCTATATATATTATTGAATTATACTACACAATTTATGAAGGCAAATTTTAAAATATGCATAATTATGAAATATTAAAAGAGTTCTTCATCATATGTTTCTTCATCATCTGAAGAACATAAATTACACTGGAATTCATCTTGAGGTTCCGCATCTCCGACATCATAACCTATATTGATTGCACCTCCCACATCCATGTTGTCAACTATGAGGTCTTCAATTGTAGTCATTAGTACATCATCATCATTTTTTGTTTGCAAAAGAGTCGGTTCTTTTTTTCGTATTCTCCGTCAATGTTTCCCCTAGGATTAACTTTAAGAACATTGAGCCACAACTGTTTCTTTTTTTATGTATGGACTCCCCCACACTTAGCCTTTGCTTTCCCTCAAGCAAAACATAAACTTAACTTGTGAAAGAAGTTTGAAAACGCGGGAACTCACTCAACTGCAGGAAACTCTTCTTTCCACTCTTCATCGCCTTGACTCTAGAACTTACTTTATGTACTTTGCCTATGAGAAGCACCAACATTCCTTACTCTAATCCCACAATCCTCAGGAATCTCCAGTGTCATCTCTTTACATAATTTAAAACAAGTAAAGATGACTTCTTACCGAGGGAATAGATCAATGGCATATCGACTCTTCTTAAACCAAGACATTCTTCATATGATTTCACTTCCTTTCCCTTTTCTCACTTCTAAGGTAATCAACATCTCCCTACTTTTCTAGGGTATCATTTTATTTTTTCAACGATCCATTTTTCTTCTCTATTTTTTTCTTTCTTTTCATTTTTGTTTTTCTTTTTCTTTTCAGGTATCCATGAGATCCGAAGAATGCACGGGTTTATGTGACATCCCTCATATCACTTCTACCTATAGCCTTTTCTATAGTTTCTTTTAAAGGCTGAAGGGAAGAGAGAAGGAAGGAATCATACTTGTGAGACTAGAAGAAGAAGTCTAGTCCAATGTATACCAACTTCCAAGGTAACATATTAGGTCCTGATAAAATTAGAGAAAACGTTAGATCAACTGGATATCCAATGAATAAGGGCTTTCAGGATTGTTGATATGGCTCATAGTCATTCCAAAAACTTCGGTTCTGAGATTAAGTATAATCAAGAGTCATAAGATTGTTAATCCAAATTAGAGAAACCATTAGACTGAGTTCATAATTCAACACAAAAAATTTGAATCAATAAAACAAATTTTGGACTGACTCAATAAAACTCCAAAAACATAAACAAGGTTAGTAACTGCCTCCCCCAGACTTAAACAACATTGTCCCCAGTGTTGCCTCCCACTAAGCGCTTGTTTTTAGTCATTAGCTTGACTTTGTCGGGGCTCAAGCGTCTTGTGGATCGGGAAGCGGCACTAAATGCCTCCGAGAATAGTGTCTCATCATCCAAGGTGGTGTATAAACATTAGGTGTAGGAGATCAACCAAGCACACAAGGACCAGCTACAGGGCAAGATCTAGGTATGGGTGGGACACTTCTTCTACCTGAAACATCATCAAAAGAACCAACAAGCGCTCTAAAACACCTTCGGGAATTCTTGTGGACCTATCAGCTAGGATAAGAGAGATCCTAGTCGGCTTGAAATCTGTCATCCCAAGTCTCACAACAACAGAGTATGGTATCAAGTTGATACTTGAGCCAAGATCACAAAGAGAGTGAGGAAATCTTTCTATGAAGATAGAGCAGTCGAGCACGAAACTTCCTGGATCATGTAACTTCTCTGAAATCCTGCTCTCAATCATGGATCATGTAACTTCTCTGGAATCCTGCTCTGTGGGGTCTGTTTCAAGATGATAGTAGTCTCTGGCCAGCAAAGCTCCTTCCTCAGGGCTCACGTCATTTAGGACCATCCTCTTAACACACCGCTTAAGAATAGGTGAATCCTGATCTACATGATCTAAATGTATCTTATTTATCACCTTTTCCATCATTTCCTTGCATCCTTCTTCTTCCACCTCCTATTTAGACTTCCTAGGCTTTGGAAAAGGAACCTTAGGCTTGTAGATCTTTTCTTTAGATAGTCGCAGAGTTTCAAGAGCATCTGGGTTTGTCTGTGAGGGGTGTCGATCGACACTGGGAAGTTGTCGATCGACACTGTGATCTGGTGTCGATCGCGGTCAATATTGGTCCGTCAAGAACCAAATTCAAGAGAACTGATGTTAGTGTCGATCGACACCGAGAGATGGTGTCGAGCGACACCTACTGTGCAAGTGCGGTTTCATCATCGTCACTTGTTTCCTGCTCCCAAACATCATCTCCATCCGATCCCTAATCAAAATGGCATTGCATCCTTCTGATTTCTTTACAGTTCCAGTAGTCTGTGCAACCTTAACGTTGCTCAAGGTGCTCAAAGCTTCTATCTTGCCATTTAGATCAGTATATAAGGCATCCATCTTCCCGTTGAAATTCACTGCCATGTTCTGCTGACCTGCTAGAATATGTTCTAGCATTGACTTCATCTTAGTATCTGCAGATGGAGGAGGAGGTGACTGGTAAGAAGAATTTCCGTAGGTTCTGGTGAAATTGATGGTGCCCTCCTGACCATATCGATGTTATACATGTTCCCCTGTGTGTTACCAAACTTCTGATCCAAATATCCAGCTTCATTGACGTAGTTCACGCCTTCTTATTCATCCGCACATGGTTCAACGGCCTCAACCTCAGCAGCAAACTTAACAGTCTTCTTGGCAACAAGAAGGTTATGCACATAATTGAGCTTGGTCTTAACGTTGGCAAGTTGAACCCCATCCATGTTTTGAGCTAGCTTCTTCCTTCCAAAATCAGCAACTCTAGTGTTGTTGCCATTACTTGCAGCATCTAAGGCCATCTAATATCTCCAATCCAATCCTCTATAGAACATTCCCAACAGCTGAAATTTTTCATAACCATGGTGTGGATAATCTCTCTGATACCCCTTAAAACGCACCCAAGCAACTTTGAAAGCGTCTGAGATCCCTTGAGAAAAGGTAGAAATCTTTTTCCGCAGCTCCTCTGACCTCGCATCATCATAAAAGTTGTTCAAGATCTCAACCTTTACATCCTTCCAGCTCGTAAGAGATGCGGGCTTCAACTCCTTAAGCCAGGATAGTGCTTCTCCAACTAAAGAGTGCTAGAAAAGCTTGCAGAGCAGAAAAACCGAAGACACACCTTCTACCTTGATGCTAGATACCAAATCTTCAAATATCTCAATGTGATCCATTGGATGCTCATGAATTTGGCCATGAAATGGGTGTTGTCATACGAAAGTGTAGTATCCAGGCTTGAGCTCGAAGTTGTTCCTCTAAAATGCAGAAGGACGTATAGCAGAGCGCTTAGAATAGAACAATGTAGGCCTATTGTATTCTCCAAGTGTTCGATTTTCATCCTCTGCTTCAGCATTCAACGCTAACTGATTGTTGTCTGCTGCGGCTTGGTGTCAAACGACACCCAGCTAGTGTCGCTCGACACCGACGGCGACAGGTTCAGGAATGACAGTCCCGTCAGCATTCAGCTTATGCCCTTGTGCATTTCTCACATGTCCTTCTCCATCTCTCAGAGGGGGGTATTGAATTTGATATTATAAGGATTTGGTAGGATTTTTAATATTTCAGAATTTCGAAAGATTTGAATTGGTTTTAAAGAGATTTGATTATACTCTGAGCTTTTATAATTTTTCTTTTAAAAAATGAAATATGTTTATGTGAGATTTTATTATTAACTTTGGATGTTTATAACACAAAAAAGGAAAATCTGGTTCAAAGTCTCAACTCACATTTCCATTGAAAAACGATCATCAAGCTTATCAAGAACATCTTGCCATCTGGAGTAACTGTGACTACGTATGTGAAGCACAATTACAATTCGTTTGACTACGTACGTGAAGCACAATATCAATACGTTTGACTATATATTTACATTGCCAAATACCAAACATGTGTAAAGTACAAGTCAATTCTTGTATAAAATATATATGTCTCAAGCAAATGTCAAAATTTTATTTATTTGGAGGGAACGAGTGTTTATATATATATATATATAATTACCCAACCGTAAGAACGAAAACAATCTAACTAAATCATAGTTATAATATTGCATTATGACTCCATATTCATAGCATCAGTCCACATGCTTGCAGCTATATTTGCTCTCCAGTTATTAGCATGTCCTCTTTGTTGTTCTTGAGTATCATGAAGTTGTTCTTCCTCATTATTCTCGTCATCATTTCTTTCATCAACACTAGTTTCTTCGATAACATCGTCTTCTGGAAGAAAAAAAATCTGAACGACATTCTTTGCGGAGATAATTATGTAAACCAACACAAGCAATCACTAATTCTACTTGCGTCTTATATAGAAAAGGTGGTGCATATTTGAAGATGAGAAATCTTGACTTGAAGATGCAAAAAATCCTCTCTATTACATTCCGCAAACTAGAATGACGATGGTAGAACAAATCATTTGGATTTATAGGGTGTTTTCCTTGTCCTCGAAAGTCTTGAAGATGATAGCGAGTACTTCGAAATGGAGCTAAAAAATTTCGTCGATTGGCGAATCTCAATCAACTAAATAAAATTTTCCTGGAGTTTAAAATGAATAAAATAATAGGTGATATAAATTGCGAATAACCAACTTAATAATTTAGTTTTATAAAAAGATAAGTGATGCGTACCTTCAGGAACTATCAATTTGTTTGTGTTTCTTTTCAAAGCATTGTGTAATACCTTCGCATCGTGAGCTGAACCTTCCCACCCGCTAAGAACATATGTAAATTCTAAATTAAAATTACATGCAGCTAACACATTTTGCGATAATTGGCCTTTTTGATTACGGTAGCTAGCCGTGTCTTCTCCTGGTATCATTGCAAGGATATGAGTTTCATCAATAGCTCCCACACAATCCTAAGAATGCAAGAAAAACATATCAGTCATCATAGTTTTTGAAATACTTGAAAAAAGAAAAAATAATTCTCATACCTTAAAATAAGGATAAAATCTTGTGCTGTCTTTTTTTTTTGCTGGAACTGCACGTCCAGGTTTAGCCATAAAACTTGGAGCAAGAGCTTTTAACACCTTTAGAATTGTGTTAAAGCTCTTACTTATTGAGAATTTTGATCTCTGGAATCTATCTTCAGCTACAACGTACCTCGCATTTTGACCAACGATAAATAAAAATGTGGCAAGCATTTCTTCAACAGAAACATATATTGTGTCTCTTAAATCCATCTTCAATCCAAAAATAGAGCATAGTTTGAGAAATGCTTCTGGATACATACGATATAGCTGTCGAAAATGATCACGATCATCTCCAACCAACGCATTTTGTATATATTCATGTCCAAGTGTTGTTGTTGATTTTCTAATCTGACGTGGTATCTGCCGTACGAAGTTTCGAAGTTTCCCGGACAAGACCAGTAACATGATATCAACATCTAACTTCAGATTTCTCATTCTTTTTCTTTTTCTTCTTGATTGCATCGCTTCACTCTCTTGAACGATACGATCCATTGACGAAATCCTACACAAAAAACACAGCTATAAATCATAACAAAGAGCTCTTAATCAAAAGAGAAAAAAGAAGCAGCAAATATATAAGACGTGTATTGTACAATACATACATATAAAAGCAATGATATTAAGAAAAACTTTGAACTTACGAGAGATAGAAGTGACGGCTAGTGGAGAGGAAAAAATGAAGGAGAGCAGCATATAAATATAGGGTTAATTACACTTACACCTACTTCTGTGAAGTTGTCTTGCAAATAGACATACTTTCCACTCCAGCTTTACTTTTCTTCTTTCTATAGGAAGAAGCTTAGATGTGTTAAGACAAAACTGTCCTCAAGTGAGTTTTAAAGTGGTGTAATGTTTTCATGTTTTTAATAGATTGTGAACCATAAGATCATGAGTACTAACTGAAATCGGACGGTTGCTATTTTTAAATTGAAAAATAGTAACGAGATGGTTTTGACCTTCATATTAATTAAAAATCTAGGTTTTCTGTGGATAAAGAACCCCATATAAAAACAGTTTAGGGTTTATTGTTGTAGAGGTAGGCTTTTGTGGAGACGGATTTATGTAGATGTAGAGGTAGGCTTTAGTGGAGACGGATTTATGTTTCTTTTGTGAGTATTTTGTGGATTGGGTAAGTTTTTAATTTTTTTTCTTTGGTATTTGCAGGCTGAAATATCTGGGTTTTGTGTGGTAGTGTCTGGATAATGGGGGTTCTCAAGCGGTAACGCCGCCGAGTTCAAGGTAGACCAGATCTTCCTGTCAAGGATTGTCCCGTTATCGACGACGACAAGGCTATGTGAACTAGATGTTGAAGACGAGAATGGGTGCTCGCAAGAGCGATTGATTCAAGATGTGGCTGAGAATGAAGAAAAGGAGAAAGATGGAGTCTTTTTTGTGTGCTATTACGCTCTCCCAAGGGCAGAAACTAACCTTGGGAGAGCGTAATAGCACACAAAAAGAAAGTCAACGGTCCCAGGGGAAGGGAGGATGAAGATGGAGCTTTTAATCTAACGACGGAAGGTACGAAAACAGCGATGAAGGTTGGGATTGGTTGGCTAGTGCTTCGACCGGTTGGAGGATAAAGTTTAGAGGGTGGATCTACGATTGCGACGGGCTAAAGAGGAATATTTTGTTTGTTAATGTTACAATGAGGTGGAGGGGGAATGTTTAGACAATGGGATGAAGATTTTGCCTAGGGTTTTAGCAATGAGAGATTGAGAATTAAGGATGGAATTAAGAATTTTTCAGTGAGGAATTGGGTTTTTTTTCTTTTTGAAGTTAAGTTTTTTACTGAAATAATGAAAGCTATATTTGAGAGGAGAGAAGAGGAACGAGAGGAAGGAGAGGAAGAGAAGCAGTTATAGAATTCGAGGAATAGAATAGTCATTTTTTTATAGAAAGTATACATGTAGCAAAAAGTGGGTCTAATGGTGAATAGTTTACTTTAAAGTAGGTCTGGATGCTAATAACCCATAAATATATATATTAACCCTAACCCTAACACAATGGAGGAGAGCATCACTCATGTTATTCTAATGATTTACCCGCCACATAGTTATGTTATCCGGCAAAAATGTATGTTAGTTAAATAATGCAAACATATCAAAAACCTAACGCATAAATTATATAAGTATGGAACCTTAACGTGTGTATGTTACTTAAATATATATATATATATGTATGTATATAAGTATGGAACCTTAAACGCATAAATTATTTTAAATTAAGAAGAAAATAAACCAAGTCTCAAATAAAGAACAAATAAGAAGGCAAGTGCATGAAGTTCTAAAATGAAAACAAAAAGGTATAAGATATCCAATATGAAAAACAAGCTTCAGTCCATGTTGATGCAGTCAACTTCATTTTCATGGTTTACGAAGGTTTCGTAAAATCCATCCCTTGCGCGCTGCTATCGACATATGAACAAACCCAAATTTCATACCTAAGCTGTGAACGAGTGTTATGGCTTCATAACATATATCTTCCTACAAATCATGAATTTCTTTGATAGCATCCCACACATTATTAGCCTTGTCCTCGGCTTCTTTTTCTTCGGATTCTTTTTCCCACCTTTTCTGTATCATGTCAACAATATGGTGACTAATTTCTATCGCTGTGTTTCCTTCAACATAATTCTTGTTTGAATTAAGTGCAGCAGTTCTAGATTTCTTTCTAGGAGGTAGCTTTTCCCCTCTTCTATTCTCCAATGAAGCAAAAACTTCCTGAACAGAAGTTTCTTAGTAAGTCGTTTCCTCTACACCATCTTCTATTTGTACACCATTTGAATCATTTCTCCTTTCATTGTCTCCAACCTGATATGTATCTCCATCAATGGTGTCACCTAATCCCATAGCATTTTTACCAGTTGCAACAGTTGTTGAAAATATCATGTGTAAATCTCCGAAATATTCAAATGAGTCATCACGCAGATGAGTTTTTAATGGATGAGCCCATTAAAAAAATAAAAACATTTTAGTAACCTCGGTACATAAGAAACACTACTATATTCAGAAATTTTATGCTATAAAATTTCTTACCCTGAAATAGTCATCCCATACTTCATCTCTAGCTGTGAATTTCTTTGTTTCAGGGTCCCATCCAAAACCAGAGCTGAAATGAAAAAGCTCTGCCAAACCATTGTACCTACCCCTCACGACCTTCATCCTATTTTTGTACTCCTTCTAGGTTTTGTTAATTTCAAGATTTTTGTTTAGAGTTGTTAATACTCTTGTCTCCACTGTTAATTTGCTAAACTTTCCACTAGCATCACGGAAACCTTCATTGACCGCATCCACTAGCAGCCGCACCAACATCTTACTTTCAGGTTCTAACCAATGATTATATGGATTTTTAGGTTTCACAACCTGTGAGTCTGTTTCCATAATCTGTGAAGTTTCCCTGGTCTCGTGTCTACACAATACAAAAATAACCAAAGATATTCATATGAGTTATGATAGATCCCAATCACAGATCTCAAATAAGTATTATTATTTAATGGTCGTTGATACTTTTATAAGTTTAACTATATATGAAGTCGCTTTCGATGGTAATTACTACTATCAACATGTTCTCTTGTAAATATGAAATTGCTTTCTCCTTCGTCACATGTTCTAAAGCTTGTTGCTCTTTTAGACAAAATGTGAAAATAAACAACATTAAAGTATAAAATACTCACCTTTACAGCACGGAGATGCACCTTTAAGAATGAAAGCAACTTTGCAGAGAAGAAGAAAGCAGGGGAGAAGAAACCAATTGATCATAGTATAGATAAAAAGCCCATATATTATAGCAATTTTTCTTCCAAAAAGAACAGCCCATTAAAAATACCATGATGCTCTTATCAATATCACGTGTCTATAGAAGTAAAAAAACAGTTATGATTTCACGTTCTTAAAGGCTCTACTAACAAAGCAATGTAAAGTCTAGACACTTCATAGCCACCAAATTCAAGCAAGGATTTATTACGTGATGTTATGTTCTCTGCAATTTCAATTATTCATAACTTATTGACGTAGAATATAGAAGATGCATTAGCTTTTATCTCCGGAGAAGAGACATATATAAAGTTAGCAAAAATCTCATCAGAACCTTCACCATTACAATTGTTTGCCATGACCACTGCGTATTAATTGATGACATTGTAAGTAAATACACAGTTGTTGAGTTAAGGAATTATATAGGGAGAAGAAGATGAGAGGAAACCTTGTTGGTGTGGTGTAAAACAGAGGAGAGAACAAGGACGACACTCATTTGCTTTGTGAAATGAGTGATCCCAAACAGAGCTTTTAGCTGTTGCAACCAATGATTAAATGTAGAAGAAGAAAAAGTAAATATCAGATAATCGAAGAAGAGAGTGGAGAGGGAAGGGAAAAAAAATTCCTTATCACAATAGAAACACTTTTGATCATGAGATGTGTTTTGTTGAAGAAGCGGAAAGCTACACCTTGTGCAGTCTTGAAATGGTTAGGCTTGAAGGATGGTGGTCTCAAATCTTGAATTACCTCACCACCATGCTTATGCTCAACTCTTGTACATTTACATTTTTCCAAAACTATAATTAAATTGTATTTTATACAATATTATTATAAAGTATTTGAAATATAAATAGTGTATTACAAGAATTTTGGTAATTATTCATTACCCAGATTAAAAGTTTGCATACGACACTTGCCTCTATTACGAGAGTAAATATATTAGAGTATATATTATTCAAGCACGTTGCACATGATTTTATTTTTTGAACCTCTTATGTCAATGTAATTTTTAAGGATAAATATAATCATTCAAATTGTAAAAGATAAACCTATGTAATTAAACGTTAGACTTATTTTATCAATTGATATACAATATATATTGTAGACATAATTTAGTAATTATACCCTAAACATGATTATACCATTATTTTAATTACTCCTTTTCAAATACAACTTTTTTAAAATACCCCCTTTTCAAACTTTATCAAAAAATCACTAAAAATATTGAAATATCAAACTTTATCATAATTTTTATTCAAATAAAACTAAAATTAGTTT